CCACCACCAGTGTGCAGCATCCACCTGGATGATGCGACGGCAGCCATAGTGTGCCAGAACGCCCACCACACACCAGCTTATTGGTGGAGAGGAGACAGAGTGATGAAGCCAATCAGTATATATATGGGGATGGTTAGGAGGCCATGATGGTCAGAGGCCAATGGGCAGATTTGGATGCCGAGGTCACACCTCTACTCTTTTCGAAAGACATTCTGGGATTTTTAATGACCACAGAGAGTCAAGACCTCGGTTTAACGTCTCATCCGAAGGACAGTGCTTTTTGACAGTATAGTGTCCCTGTCACTATACTGGGGCGCTAGGGCCCACTCAGACCACAGGGTGAGCACCCCCTGCTGGCCTCCCTAGCACCTCTTCCAGCAGCAGCCTAGTTTTGCCAGAAGGTCTCCCATCCAGGTACTGACCAGGCTCAACCCTGCTTCGCTTCAGTGGGCGACCAGTCTTGGGCTACAGGGTGATATGGCTGCCATATCAATACATATCAAACTTTAAAAAAAAAAATGAACTGAGTGCAGTGCATTATTCTCCACATATAGCACGATCTGAACCCTAAACGCGTTTTGTCAAAAAAGACAGTATTCATGTATTCAGAGTTCACGTATTACTGCAGAAGCCGACACACGCCCTTGCTGTTTGTGAACAGAAGCCGATAAGTCCATTTTAGTGAATCAGCACGCTGTATTCAGGTCAGGTGACAAGGCTGCCAGCCACTTTGAAAAAAACGTGCTAGCTGAGAGGGGTTTCGTCAAAGCTGACTAAACGTGATCGATGATGGATAATTTCGACGAGCTTGATGAACCTGTGATATCATCTTCAGGGCGAAAAAGGAAAATAAACGTTTTCACGGAACCTTGCATTATTTTTTATTTTTTTAGCAGACTCAGAAATGAATGGCATGATTTTCACCCTTTGACCTTCTTTTTTTCAGGGTGTGACCTTGACTGATCTCCAGGAGGCAGAGAAGACCATCGGTCGCAGTCGTCCCACATGGCCTCGAGAAGATGAGAAAGAAGAGAAGGAGAAACAGGACAAGGAGAAACAAGAAGAGAAGAAAGAGACGGAGACCAAGGAGGATGACTACAGGTCACGCTACCGCAGCTTTGAAGAGGTGAGGAAAACTCCTTCCTGTTCCCGGTCACAGAGAACAGAGCAGTTTGTGGAATTCTAACTAGCATTCTAGTTTTTTTTTTTTTTATGTCACATGAGTTTTTTTTTCTTCTTGTCCTCCAGAAGTACCGGAGCACCTCCTTGGCCTCGACCACCACAGCCTCCTCCACCCTGCCTTCCTCCTCGTCTAGCAGCTCCTCTTCTCTGTACAGCACCTCCTCTCTGAACCGACCCAACAGCCTGAGTGGTCTCACTTCCACCTACAGCCGCACCACACGTGTCACTGAGAGAGGTACAGCACACCAACAATCTCATGAAGTCATGTCCACGTCCTGTTTCATCCAAACAAAAGAACACATTTTATGCATGAAAACAATAAACTTGCCTGTTTTTGGAAAGTTAATTTTTCTTCTTGTCCTCCAGAAGTACCGGAGCACCTCCTTGGCCTCGACCACCACAGCCTCCTCCACCCTGCCTTCCTCCTCGTCTAGCAGCTCCTCTTCTCTGTACAGCACCTCCTCTCTGAACCGACCCAACAGCCTGAGTGGTCTCACTTCCACCTACAGCCGCACCACACGTGTCACTGAGAGAGGTACAGCACACCAACAATCTCATGAAGTCATGTCCACGTCCTGTTTCATCCAAACAAAAGAACACATTTTATGCATGAAAACAATAAACTTGCCTGTTTTTGGAAAGTTAAGTATTTCTTGCGTCACGAAACTTTACAAAACTTTACTTTTTAAGACAATGTACAGCAGTAATTATATGTATTGTTCCCCTCAGTGCAAATTTACTTCATTGTCATGAAAAGGTTACAATGCAAAATGCAATATCTGTGTGGTCACTGAGTCGAGTGACATGGCACAGGAAGGAAAATGAGTGATAGGGCTTTGAGGCGTTCCAGGAACTGCCATACAGACAGGAAGTTCCTGTAGTATGGTTGCAGACTGACTAAGCCAAGCTTCAGTTTGTATTCATGTGGTTGCTAACTTTTACTCTTATTAATAAAGAGGATTTTTTCCATTTCTGATTTGCGGAAACCCATGATAATAAGAAACCATTTTTGTTTTCTTAAAGGCTCATGTACACTACTGTTCAAAATTTTGCAGTTGGCAAGTTTTTTTTGTTTTTGTTTTTGAAAAAAGTCTTTTATGCTCACCAATGCTGCACCAATACAGCCTAATGTTATTAGATTTTATTGATTTATTCTGTAGGGACATTAATTTTATTTGTGCAGGATAGTGTTGTCACGGTACCAAAATTTCAGTATTCGGTACCAATACCAGTGAAAATCCACGGTTCTCGGTACCAATTTCGGTACCAATATGCTGATTTGGTCAAGAAACATTTCTTATCACATTTGAAAATAGTTGTGAAAGTTAATATTTTAGTGAAAACTGCATTTTTCAACTTTTTTTTTTAGGATTCTGTGATGAATAGAAATTTTAAAAGAACAACATTTATTTTAAATAGAAATTAAAAAAATATATTTTATTATTTATTTATTATTATTATTTTATTACATTACTGTAATTTTGATTAAAACAGACTTCTATTGCAGAATACTGGTATTAGATTTATTTTGTTTAGTGTTCACTCATTTTCTACGATTTATTTTTATTCCATTTAGCTAGAATTTCCAGCAAAGTCCTGGAGCTATATTCTTCCCATAAATAAAACAGGGATTGCTATTAGTGGTTTATGTACATTCAGAATGCTCAGCTGTACTCATAAAGAACCTTATGTCTGTTTTCTGACCAGAGTCTGACAGAAAAGAAAAAGAGGATGACAGGGACGCTGAAGACAAGTCTCAGCCACGCTCTATACGCGACCGCAGACGACCTCGAGAGAAAAGACGCTCGACTGGAGTGTCATTCTGGACCCAGGATGTAAGAAACTTTTGCACGCTCACACAAACTTGCTCTATATGGACACTGGTACAAAAGACATCATGGGAGCTTTATAATCAAGCTCCAATTTGTCCCCAGTAGGCATGGGACGATAACCGGTTTCAAGGTATACCGCGGTTTGGAAAAGTCACGGTTTCAAAACCACTAAAATTTTCCGTTCCTGCGGTATGCGCAGTTTTTTTACGTGTCGTCAAAGACTGAAAGTGCAGGACTCCCTCAGTTGTGTGCAGCGAAGCGTAGCGAGTCACACGACCCCTCCCCCTCCGGTTGGTGCGAGCGGAGTCACCTGTGTGTAGGATGGCCGAAGGAGATGAATCCCTGGAACTTTTTCCCCCGTCGAAGTTATCATACCGTCAGAATCTCATACCGGCCCATGCCTAGTCCCCAGCCATGATGGTTATAAATAGTGGTCGACCGATATATCGCCACGGCCGATATATCGGCCGACATTTGGCATTTTTTAAATATCGGCATCGGCCGATAAGTTTTTCTGTTTGGCTGATGCGTTCGTGGCGGGGCTTTTATTTTGACTGCGCTGAGAACGGCAGCACCTGAGCAAACGGTGCTCACATTCGCCCTCTTTTTCGCTGTTGTCATTAACAGTTCTGTCTAATATGGATAGAAGTCTGTCTAATAATCAGATAGAACGGGTAAACAAAGGAATTAAAATGTATACAAAAAGTATCATAACGATTGCTTTTATATTATTAGTAATAGAAAGGCAAACATTATAATACTGTTTAGATTATATGCTTTCAAAAGATACTATAGATGCTCCAACACGTGTAATATAAAAAAAAAAAAACACACGATGACGCAATTCCTATTCCTATACCGGGATTACGACCTTAAGGGGTTAAAAAAAAAACTATATCGTGATATAAATTGTCATATTGTGATATAAGATTTTGGTCATATCGCCCACCCCTACCAGCATCGGCTGATTAAGTTTTCCTGTTTGGCTGATGCGTTCGTGGCGGGACTTTTATTTTGACTGTGCTGAGAACGGCAGCGCCTGAGCAAACAGTGCTCACATTCGCCCTCTTTTTCGCTGTTGTCATTAACAGTTCTGTCTAATATGGATAGAAGTCTGTCTAATAATCAGATAGAACGGGTAAACAAAGGAATTAAAAAGTATACAAAAAGTATCATAACGATTGCTTTTATATTAGGCCTATTAGTAATAGAAAGGCAAACATTATAATACTTTCTTGTTTGCCGTCAGCATTCAGCAAATACGGATTTATATAATTTTAAACAAATCTTTGAAGGACTAATGAACATTTAATTTCACAAACCTTGCAAACTTAGTCGGATCCAGTTGTGAGACCTTATGAAGTGTGCATTTGTATCATGCATGATCGCATGTTCTCTGAGTGACGGTCAATCCGTGTGAATTGAATGTGGACAGGAGGAGAGTTCAGCTTCACTGGAGACGCGCGATCGACAAACTTTAAACTCGTGATTTTAAATTATGCTGCACTTTATGCATTTGCCCACTGCCATATTCATGTCATTTCCACTGTGTGCTGTATGTAAAATGAGTGTT